GTTGGGACACCAGCGATCCACAGGCCTCCACGTCAGCATAGCCACCTGCCCATTGGCGGGTATAAATAGAAGCATTTATTTCATTGTAAGGGGTTGGCAACTTTCTATTCTTAACACTCTAGCTATAGCATTCTTACCCGCAGCACTTCTACTGCCTGGTAAGACGAACGGCCGACGGAGCCTTAGCAAAAAGTATTGTGTTAGGGAGTTATTAAGAGATAGTAATACTTAACCACTTACTTGCTACTCCTTGTTCTTTTTAATTCATACCATCTGCTTGTTGGGCTAGTTTACTCACGCACTCCACTCGAAATCCTTGGGCTTACGTGTTGGGCCCGGGGGTTGAAGGAATAAACCTCAACATGCACAATTACTTACATATGCAATTCTAAGCACAAGTGCACACTAGTATATGAATAGTGCACAAAATTGTGAAATGTTAGTGGTGTCTTTAAATATATATAAAAGTGCACTTCCGTGATCTGATTTCTTTAATAAAATGAATTTCACTTTATTCACTTTCAAGGTGCATAACTGCTTGTCGTGATAATACATCTATTTCAATTTGTTCATATGTTTGTGCCTTTTACACTATTCGCATAATCTACCTTGACAATATTTATTAATGTATTACTCCCTCCGTCCCTGAATGTTGTTCCAATTGCGGATTACGAAGGTTGACCGACGATAAAGTTAAATGATCCCTGTGAAAACTCGGATTATTTTTAGTAAATAAAATTTACATATTCAGAAACTACATTAAACCCGCTACAAAGCCTGCAAAAAAAAAATCAATTTTCATAAAGTTTTGATACAAAAAGTAAGAGTTTAAGAGTGATTTAAGTTGACTCTCGAAAAGCGAAATGGAAGTAAATTTAGGGACAGAGGGAGTACAATTTTTTTAATGTATCTCAAAGTCAATTTTCTAAATATGATTTTTATAATAATTTATATTAAAAAAATTAATATATTAATGCAAAGCATGAAACTAAATGTTAAATGAAACGTATCCAAATGAAAATAAATGCATGATTGTTGAATCAAAAAAGTAGCGGATAAAAAAAATAGTTTATTTTAAAGAAAAGATTCGAATAAAAAAATCTCACTTTTTGTAATTTTTAATTGGTAAAACAGTAAAAGATTCAAGCAATATTAATGTAAAAGTACGGAGTACTTATTAACTTCAAAGGAAAGAACTTGGATAACGTAATTGTAGAAGTATAATTGAATAATTGAAGTCCCGTTAAGAATGGTAAGATATGCAAAATCACAAGTTTAACCCTCTTGGTTGGAGAAAAAGATCTCAAAAAATAACTTGATCCAATGGTGTAGTATCATTCTTATTTCTCTCCTAAGATGATTTTCTCACTTGAATCTAAATCTCTCTCTCTCTCTCTCTCTCTATATATATATATATATAGGGGAATGTTCAGGTGAGAATGATGTTCCAGGAGAGAAATGAGAATAAAATCTAACCATCTATTACCATTAACATACGGTGAAGATTTGATCTAAATGTGCCATGGTAATATTGTAATTAGGTGGAATTATGAGGGAAGATCTTATGGCAAAAGGAACGGAATTAATGATAAGGTCATATGTGTAAAATGGTGTAACAATACAATCGGTCATGTAAATTCCTTTCCATAAAAATCTCATTCCATTTATAATTTTGAACGGCTAAACTCCAACTTTCCCTAAAAGATAGGACTAGTAATTAACAAGCATTTAATTTCTGATTATTATCACTTACAAACGGTGATTCTATAGTTGATCGGCGTATTTAATTATTGTGCGATTAATTAAATTATTTATCGAACTCATAATAATGAGAATGGGCTACCAAATATTTAGTTGGATTATCATAATTATTATAGAAGTCCAATAAAGTGCCAACTAAGGTTGATAAAAATGTTTGGACAACCCGAGTGCTATTTTGACCCAACCTGCTAAAAATACCAGAAATAATTGGGAGGGACTTTCTGTACCCAACTGGGATTTTTCCTACAAGTCTTGTAGACTCAAAATAATCATTTTGAGACGAGTAAAAATGGGGTGGGCGAAATAGCTGTTGAGGAGTATGCACAAGACATAAAATATATTCATAGGTCCCTACTCATGCATTATTTGGATGCTTGATTGAGTAGAGGTACCTTCCCCCTATCCTTCGCACCTATTCACGTCCAACCAAGAGGAGGAGCTCCAGAGAAGTCTTCTCTCAAGAAACCATAGCTTGAAGAAGCACAAGGGAGAAGGAACCCAAGAGGGAAGAGCTAAGTTGAGATATGTCACGCCCCGGACCGCATCTGTGCCACGTAGACAACCGCCGTACAATTCAATAAGAACAATGTAGTTCACTCTTATCAAGTCATACAAGGCGTCCGATAGATTCTATTGCCGAACCGATTAGTAAACCCATACAATCAACATCAATATATAAATCAAACGAATGCGGAAATAAAATATGTTTGACATTTAGCCACACGTGGCAAACATGAGCACGCAGGCCCTTCATTAGTTTAATAGAAATCGTCATTCAAATATCCATGAGCAATTTCATAATTTCAAATAAGAATGGAAGCACGAACCACGTCTTCCTTATTGAGTTCACACTAGGCAAAGGTGCAGGTAGCAGGACTCTAGCCTTAACCTGAAAAATGTGAGGGCCCCCGAAGGGGTCAGTACTCCATAGAAAGTACTAGTGACAAGCAGGCTATATGAGGAATAACTAATGTTTCAGACACGAGACCCAAAAATAGGATGATACATATACTTATAGGTATAACCATCGTTACCCCATTCCCAAGATAATACATACCGTATATACTTGTAAAATACTTGACCCGTGGGTCGTTTTATCACAAAGAGTCTTTTAGAGGTAAGGCGATTACCCAACCTTTCCCATTCATTCCCGAATGCCTAGCTCACGAGCTACATTCTACCTTCATAATATCCTACCGAGTTTCAGGAGTGTTAACCCTCCCGGGGATGCTCAACCCCAACCGAGTTTTAGGATCATTTACCGTCCCGAGGATGCTCAACCTCAACCGAGTTTTAGAATTGTTTACCGTCTTGAGGATACTCAACCTCACCGAGTTTTAGGATCTGTTTACCGTCCTGAGGATACTCAACCTCACCGAGTTTTAGGATTGTTTACCGTCCTGAGGATACTCAACCTCACCGAGTTTTGGGATCGTTTACCGTCCCGAGGATACTCAACCTCAACCTTATTTCTAACCAAACCCTAACCTGGATATGGCTAACCTTGCATTCACTTAACTATGGACAATACCTAGTCCTATAGTCATATAATAATCTTTAGTAACCAACGTGGACGGGTCCCACCTGATCGGTCCACGTTAACCTACTCAAAAACTACCCATTTTGAGTATAACCCAATACTCGATCGAGTATCCACCCATACTCGGTCGAGTATAGGAGACAGCAGCCCGTAAGGCTAATTTTCCATCCATACTCGATCGAGTACCTACCCATACTCGATCGAGTATAGGAGACAGCAGCCCTAGGGGCAGATTTTCAGCAAATACCCGGTCGGGTATTTGCCAATACCCGGTCGGGTATTGTGGTTGACTTGGCGGTCAACGCCCGTTTGACCGCCCAAACGGAGTCCGACTAACATGAAATTTTGCATGCATGTACTAATTGAAGTCCTTGATCCAAAAATACCACTTTTGGCCCTTGGAATATCATACATATCAATTTATAATTATTTCACTAATCAAACCAACATTTCATGCTTTCCAACTATGTTATAGTTGTTAACATAACATAACACATGCTTTAATACCATTAATCAATTCATAAAACATATTCTTGATTAATTTAGGTAATCTCATGCCTCACGCAAAAGTTATAAAGCATATAGCCGTCTTCTCACCTTAAAAGAAGCTTATGAAGTTCTAGCCTTTCTTATCGAGCTCCGGTGAAACTCCGGTGAACTTCAACGAACTCCGGCGACAACTCCGGCAACCCTTTCAACTCTGTGAAAGTTCTTGAAATACCTTATACAAGTTAACAACAAGGTTTTATCATCATAAAACCCATACCAATACAAATAACCTCTAAAAGGTTATTTTCCGGCAAACCCGTCAACTTTGCTCCCAAGGTTTGTTTTGGGTATAAATCAACCCTTCAACCCCCATTCTACACTTTTAAATATGTAGAACTATCCTAGGAGTATGAAATATGATTAAAGGGAAGGAATGAGTTTAATGAGGTCATTACCTTATTAACCACAAGGTTTCGCACCTAAACTCCTCTTTTCTCTCCTCTTTTTCCTCCCTTCTTCTTCCCCTTGCTTTGTGCGTGAATAGCTGATGGAAATGGAGTACTTGCAGGTTTTCCTCCTCCTTGGATGATGTATGGGTCGAGCTGATTGGAGGTGGGTGGAGGAAACCCCTCACTTTTGTCTTAATAGAGCAAAAGAATGGGAGGTGGGACCCTTAGGTGATCTAATTTGTCTCCTCATCATTCAGCTCCCATTACAAGTCTCTCATACAGCTCTCCCTCCTCATTTGCACGATCAAAAACGTGGGGTGGCCCCCACTTTGATGGGTGGTCATCCCTTTGTGTCCCCAAGTCCACACTTGGTCCCGAAAGTTGTATTTTCCGGACTGTTTTAACTATATTTCATTTTATCGGGTAAAATGAAATATCTATCATTCTTCCCATTATTATTGGCTATAAGAATGAATGTATATTCCCAACTTTTAATTTTATGGTCTCCATAATTTATTATGGCTTTTTATCTGATATTACTTCGGTACCGATAAATGGGCTTTATATGCTCAAATGGTTACTCACGTAATTTCTATGGCCCAACAAGGCTATCCATCATTCCACACATATTATCTTGACCCAAACGAATATAATATGTGGTCCCGATAATATCGGGCGGCCCCCACCTCCGGTGTGGGCCCCACGTGGATTTTAATATTCACGTAAAAGAAATGATAGAAATTTTCAATCACGTAAAAATGCGTTTGTTCATTCCTCTAAAAATGCGTTTGTTCATTCCTCGGGGTTTGATACATAATTTGATAAAGTACAAATACTTGGGGGCGGTGTTACAAGTTCTACCCCCCATACTTGGGATTTCGTCCCCGAAATCCACGTGTCTAGTCAAACAGAAATGGATACTGTTCCCTCATCAGGGTCTCCACTTCCCAAGTTTGCTCCTCGACACGATCACTCTTCCAAAGTACCTTCACCATCGGTACCTCTTTACTCCTTAGCTTCTTTACCTGTCGGTCCATGATCTTGACCGGCTGCACCGCATAGTGAAGGTCTTCCCGGATTTCTACCGGTGGTTTCTCAAGAATATGTGACGGGTCCCGTACATACTTCTTGAGCATCGAAACATGAAACACATTATTAATCTTTTCCAACTCTGGAGTTAACTGAAGTCGGTACGCTACGACCCCGATTCTTTCAATGATTTTGAATGGGCCTATGTAACGTGGGTTAAGCTTACCCCGACTGAGGAACCTGATAATCCCTTTCCAAGGTGACACTCTCAGGAACACCTCATCGCCGACCTCGAACTCCAACGCCCTCCGACGTTTATCAGCGTAGCTCTTCTGTCGATCTTGGGCAGCCTTGAGCCTATCCTGAATAACTTTCACCTTCTCCTTGGTGATCTCAACTAGCTCAGTTCCCTCAAGCTTGGCCTCGCCAACCTCATCCCAACATAAAGGTGTCCGACATTTCCTCCCATAAAATGCCTCGTATGGAGGCATGCCTATACTTGCCTGATAGCTGTTGTTATAGGCGAATTCTACCAAAGCCAACTGGTTGTCCCAACTTCCTTGGAATTCTAAGGCACATGCCCTCAACATGTCCTCCAAAATCTGAATCACCCGTTCAGATTGCCCATCCGTTTGAGGATGGAATGCCGTGCTAAACCTCAACTTTGTTCCCATGGATTCCTGGAACTTAGGCCAAAACCGTGATGTGAACCGTGGGTCTCTATCCGACACTATAGTAACCGGAACCCCATGCAGTCTCACGATCTCATATGTATACAACTTGGCCAGTCGCTCAAGCGTATAAATAGTGTTGATAGGTAGGAAATGAGCACTCTTGGTCAGCCTATCAACTACCACCCATACCGCGTCGTAGTTCCTAACCGTCCGTGGCAGACCTACCACGAAGTCCATAGTAACATGCTCCCACTTCCATTCTGGAATGGTAAGTGGCTATAATAATCCTGTCGGGTGCTGGTGCTCTGCTTTGACCTGCTGACAGGTAAGGCAACGACTGACATCACTACTAGAAAAATAGCTATTTGCTGCGGTTTTGAACCGCAGCAATTGGCACCGCAGCAAATAGTAGGAAAATGTATTTGCTGCGGTTCCGAACCGCAGCAAATAGCTATTTTTGAAAAATGAATTTTGACTTTTTGCTGCGGTTCAGATAACTAAAAAACCGCAGCAAATAGCTTCTTTAATAACATTCAGAAATTCCTTATTGCTGCGGTAATAACCGCAGCAAACACTTTGTAAAGTATTGAATTGTTATTTGGGTTTCTCGATGCTATATTGCATTATTGCTATCCAAGTACACAAAAACACTATTTTACACCAAAGCATATCGTGCACAATTCATTTCCAATCTCACGTTGAAATTAGGATAGAATCTGATAAAGTGCCATGAACACCATACAAGTTTAAAACAAACTAAAAATTAATTTAGCTAGAACTTGTTTACAAAACCAATAGTGAAATAAAAAAAATTAAAGTAAATCTAAATAAAGGGTACATGTCTAATTTTAGAACTTATACAATTAAACATGTCTCAACTCTCAATTCCGAGATTGCTCCGTAAGTCTTCTGATTGTGTCCGAGTTCTGACCTTCACATCACTAGCGAGTAGCAGTGCTATAGAAATATAGTAAGATCGAAAACATATTATAATCTTGCAAGATTAGAAGGATATAAAAACATATAAAAGTTACATAGAAAAACTTACTTCAAGTTACACGCTCTGGCAGTCTGCTTTGACCTCATTATGATTCTTGCAGTCCATGTATTGAGTGCCATTCTTTTTTTATGAGTGCATAAGAGGTTCACTTTTCCACCTACAAAAACCATATATAATAACAAGGTCAACTAAATATTTCTGGACAAATTAATAATATTTTTTAAATCTCTTTGAATAACGGAATGACATAGGATCAACTGTCAACATTTTCTCAACATGATTGATAGCAGCTGGGTGCACCTAGGAAACTTTTGCGGACCTATTTGTTGCGGTTATCCAGAGGCACCAGAGCCCATAGCAACAGATCAAAGAAACGGTAGTTTATTGTTGTGGTTCACTAACAAACGCATCAGAAATATGAAAACTTTCAGTTTATTTGCTTTGGCTCAATCACGTTGGGGCCTAGGAATACAAATCAGCAACAAATGGGGTAGAGGAATACAGAATAGCTTACAAATGGGAATTCTGGGAAGGGGATAACCAAAGCTACATATGATCATACTACTAAAGCAGATATAGGAAAGAGCATCATGATAAATAAGGAGGGTTTTCATGAATCCTTAGATCATTCGGGTGCCGTATTAACAAAAAAACGAAGCATAAGCATATGGAAGAACCTTTTGTTTAGTCTGGTCAAATGTTCCAGCTACACCAGGTGCCATGTTGTCTTCAACTGGTTTAGTATTTTCAGATACACAAGGGTGTGACTCTGAATTATCTTGATGGATGACTTCTTGAGCAGTCCCGGATGGCACTTGGGGACTGCATCAGTTTACGCACTCATAATAACAAAAAAAAGGAAGCATAAGCATATAAAAGAGAAATCATAGAAAGTGATATACGCACAGGTATTAACAAAAAACGAAGCATAAGCAAAAAAATGAAGCATAAACATATCCGAATATTTTCAAAAATGCCAACTCAATTTCAATAAATTAGCAAATGTGATACATCTAATCACATACCTCATAGAAAGCTAGACACAACATACCTCACAGAAAGTTCATTGGACCTTTCATTAGTAACCAAAACAGGTTTACCATTGTTGTTCATGATTTGCTCCATAGAAGCATCTAAACTCCAAAAAATCAATTCAGCTGTAAAGAAAGAATTTTATTCAACTTGAAGGAGTGATACATGATAGCAGTATAAATAGTACATCTCTACAACCATTTACAAGGCAAGTAAATCAAATAACTACTACAAGAATATATGATACTAATATTAGCAAAATTCTAGAAGATATTACTTAAGTAACACTATTACCAGCCTTGAACTCTTCAGGTACTAGAAGACAATTAGGTAAAATAACGGGTTGATGGGCAATAATCTTTAGCTTCTCTAACTTTATGTCAAACTGCTTAGGCAAATTGTCATTAGATTTAAGAAGTGGTGATGAGGCTTCTGATGTGACAATTCCATCCTTAGATTCCAATACTGCACAATGGCGAAAGATCATAACTTAAATACTAATGATAAAATAGAGAACAAAGAAGAACTCAAAATCTTGCTATCATCTCTTTAGAAATTATCAATTTAGTTGACCTTACTTATTTAGGCCTACCCCAGACTTTAAAACACCATATCAAGAGCAAAAAACCAATAGTGAATGATAGTGCTACAAGTGGCAAACACAATACATTAATTCATCAAGTTACATGATTCCACAAATCAAATGAGACATGCTAATGAGCCATTAATTTAGTAAACAGATGCAGACAACCATTCAAAAAAATCATTACATATAGGAACCAGAAGAAACAAGAAAGGTCATAACATTAGTAAATACAAGTAACTTTTGAAAGTTTTAGCTCAAGCAAATATCGAAGTGTGATAGCAAAAGATCATTCTTAAAGTGGTAGGAAGAGGGGGAATGATATTTAAAAAGGTAACTCCCTTGTTCACAATACTCATAAAAACGAAAAAAAAAACTGAAAAAGAAAAACTAAACTTATTCTGATTACCTGGACTGGGGGAGCTCATAGAGAGGAATATTAGTTCTGATTCTCGAAGAGTAAGTAGAAGCAGTCCCTATCTGCGCCTTAATCTTCGCCCGTTTATGTTTCTGAAGGAGCGGGAGGCTGAAGGAGCAGTGGTTAGTCCACGTCGAGCAGCGGCTACCGCTTGTTTCGTCAACTCAGGGGAGCGGCGATGGCGGATTGCTGTTGGAAGGCAGGCGACAGTGATGTGGTGCTGGGAGTGGGGCACCGGCTGTGTGGTGATTGGAGGGGGCGGCGATGACTTGGGCGGAAGAAGGAGTAGTCGATATATATGAAGCTTCGCAGTTCAGAAGCAACAGAAAAACCCTAAGTAATCGGTACCCCAATTGCTGCGCTCTCAATTTAACCGCAGCGAAAAGCGAGGAAATAAGCTCATATTTTATGCGGTTGTCAAATAACCGCTGCTAAAAACTCAAATCGAAAGGCTATTTGCTGCGGCTCGATCATGAACGCAGCGAATATTGAAAAAAATCATTAATTGCTGCGGTTATCTTTTGGACCGCAGCAAAAGAGGAGCAGCAAATAGCAAAAAATCTAGTAGTGATGCATATTCTGCAATCTCTCTCTTCATCCCCAACCACCAGTAACTTTCTTTCAAGTCCCGATACATTTTGGTACCGCCTGGGTGCATGGCATACGCAGATGAGTGGGCCTCCTCAAGAATAGATTTACGGAGCTCCTCATCTGATGGCACACACACCCGTTCCCTGAATAGTAAGAGTCCATCCTCTCTCTCACGGAAACCCTCGACGGGTCCCACCAGCATCCGTTCCCGGATTTTCTGAATTTCCTCGTCATGGCCCTGACGCGTCCTGATTTCATCTAACAAGGTGGGTCTCACCTCAAATCTGGCCAATAAAGCCCCATTTGTGGATACCTCCACGCGTGCCCTCAATGCTTGTAAGCATGAGAGTAAAACCCCCGATGAACTCTTCCTACTAAGAGCATCGGCTACCACGTTAGCCTTCCCTGGATGATACTCGATAATCAAGTTGTAATCCTTGATCAGCTCCATCCATCTTCTCTGCCTCATGTTCAACTCTTTCTGAGTGAACACGTACTTCAAACTTTTGTGATCAGTATAAATGTGACACACCTCCCCGTAAAGGTAATGCCTCCAAATCTTCAAGGCAAACACCACAGCTCCTAGCTCAAGGTCATGTGTGGGGTAATTCACTTCATGCTTCCTCAGCTGCCGAGAAGCATAAGCAATTACCTTCCCCGATTGCATCAGTACGCACCCAAGCCCCTGGATGCTAGCATCACTATAAATGTCATACCCCAACCCTTGCACGGGTAGAGCAAGTACTGGTGCTTCAGTCAACCGTTTCTTTAGCTCAAGAAACCCTTTCTCACACTTGTCATCCCACACAAACTTAGCTCCCTTTTTAGTGAGCTTCGTGAGTGGAGATGCTATTACGGAGAACTTTTCCACGAATTTGCGGTAATACCCCGCTAAACCAAGGAAACTCCTTATTTCCTTCACATTCTTGGGCCTCTCCCAATTAGTGATTGCTTCAATCTTTGAGTTATCAACTGAAATTCCTGAGCCTGATACCACGTGCCCGAGAAAACCGATTTCCCCAAGCCAAAATTCACATTTAGAGAATTTGGCAAAGAGTTGCTTCTCCCGCAGTGTTTCAAGCACGAGTCTTAGATGTTTCTCATGTTCTTCTTCGTTCTTGGAGTATATCAAAATGTCATCAATGAACACTATGACGAATTGGTCCAAGTATTGATGGAATACTCGGTTCATGAGGTCCATGAATGCCGCGGGGGCATTTGTAAGCCCAAATGACATCACTAGGAACTCATAGTGACCATACCTTGTACGGAATGCACTCTTGGGTATGTCACTCTCCTTGATCTTTAGTTGATGGTAGCCCGACCTCAAGTCGATCTTGGAGAACACAGTTGCCCCCCGTAACTGATCAAACAAGTCGTCAATCCTTGGCAAAGGATATTTGTTCTTTATCGTGACCTTGTTCAATTGACGGTAGTCGATACACATTCTCATTGTGCCATCCTTCTTCTTAACAAAGAGTACAGGTGCTCCCCATGGTGAATGACTCGGTCTAATGAATCCGTTATCTAGTAGCTCTTCCAATTGAACTTTCAACTCTTGAAGTTCAGTCGGTGCCATCCGATACGGAGGAATTGAGATGGGTTTGGTGCCTGGTTCAACCTCGATCTCGAGCCATACTCGATCGGGTATGGTTATATACTCGATGTGGTTATAACTAAACACACTTCAAGGTCGAGCGAATTTCCCACACCCGGTCGGGTCTATATGGGCACCCGATCGGGTATCACCTGTTTCCCGAAGATTTTAACTTTAAAACAGATGGACAATTGCATGTGGAATCAAGGAGTTACCTGCAATAGAGTCCGGGTTAGCCCGAGCATCGGCCTCAGTCATTGCATACACCCGTGCTTGGGTCCGCCCTTGGTTAACGGACGCGGCGTTACTGGCCGTGGGTCCGCCCCTTCCCGTGCCGCCTTGAGATGGTCCCGCACGACCCCTACCAGACGTAGGTGCCTCGACAGCTCCCGATGGCCCACCTCCACTCAACATTGGGCAAGAGAGTTTGAGGTGGCTTGTGCTACCACACTTGTAGCACCGGGGTGGTTCATTGCACTTCCCGGAGTGATTCCTGTTACAGTTTGGACACCTTGGTGGCCTCACGCTCCCCGAGCTATGCCCTTGCCCTCCTGGGCCCTTACTCTTCTTTGCCGGTGGTTCCGGCGCCCTGAATGATCTTCCATTCCCGGCGTGATGTTTCCGAGAATGGTCTTGGGGTCCAGAATTTCCCCATCTTCTTTTCTTCGCCTCTTCGGCGTCTCTCTTCTTCCTTTCATTCCACTTGGCTTCCCCAAGTAGCCCTTGATCCACAATCTCACTAAAAGTCATGTGATGATTGTAGGTGGCCCTATCACGGATATCCAACTGTAGGGTATCCCAGAAGTGATTAGCCATGCGGTTCTCATCCATGGCGTACTCAGGTATGTATCGTGCCAAGTCCCGGAACCTTTGTTCCAGTTGCCTCACCGAGCAATCCTCCTCCTGTACCAGGGTCATGTACTCCTTCCTCTTCTGGTTCTTTTCGAACTCTGAGTAGTACTGATTGTAGAATTCTACTTCAAATTTCTCCCAGGTGGTCTCACCGTGGAACTTTCCTTCCACGCCCTCCCACCATACGGCAGCTACTCCCTCCAGTAGCCTGGTAGCTATTGTTAGCTTTATGTCAAGCCCGATCTGCATATCTCTAGCAGCCTCATTTAGCTTCTTTATCCAATCGGCAGCCACCGATATATCACCCTTGCCATCAAATGACTTGCACCCCAAGGCCCTAGCCTCCTTGAGGTATTTGGAGATTCTTACACAAAAACCTCCTCCATGCATTCCCTGTGACGCCACAGGTGTAGCCACTGATGCTCCCCGGCTTCCGTTGTCACGCCCCGGACCTACCCGGACACGTCAACAACCCGCCGTACAGTACGAATAGTCAACCGCAGTCCAACTCGTCCATACTATACAAGGCGTCTTGAATACCATTCACAATAGTACATCCATAAACAATCATAATGTAAAATAATTAATTAAAGCAGCGGAAACATTAATATAATATCCGAGCCACACGTGGCAAACACGGGCATACAAGCCCCAAATAAATATTCAAAATAATATCCATGAGCATTATCTAGATTGTTTTCAAAACAGAAACGGAAGAAGCACGAACCACGTCTTCTTCCCTTGATCTCCCCGAAGCAACGGGTGGTGGCAGCAACTCTTCAAGTTCTACCTGAAACTGTGAAGTGGCCTCCCCCGTGAAGGGGAGGTCAGTACTTGGAAGCATTTGACAAGTACAATGACAACTATACTAAGTATAATCGATGTTTCAATTTCTTAAGACCCTCAAATAGAGTGATATTATATCGTAGGCCGTAACCCCCGGTTACCCTGTGTTATGAATATACTTACTTTATATAAAGTCAAGTAGTCGGCCCGTGGGCCCATATTCATTTGGAATTTACCATTTTCACTTTCCGTGACCATGAGTCACGACAACCCCATAGGGTTCCCTCGAGTCCCGATTGTATAGCAAGGGCTCGGCCCAACTACATTTCTATACAATCCTTTAACTCAATTTAATATATCTAAATTTGTATGGCAAGGGCTCGGCCCAACTACGTTTCCATACCAACTATAACTTCATGGCAAGGGCTCGGCCCAACTACGTTTCCATGAAGATCACAATGCATGGCAAGGGCTCGGCCCAACTACGTTTCCATGCTAGTCACATTACATGGCAAGGGCTCGGCCCAACTACATTTCCATGTAATCCTAGAGTCCGACTCTAATTTATTTCCATAGCTCAATTCTCAAGCAAATCCTATGCCTAGAATCAATTCACTTGGATAGCCTTTTGGCCTACCCCTAACACACCGTAGTGTTCATACAATTTGACCTTAAAGCATCTCTTAAGACTACTTAAGGCATATCTATTCACAATCCTATCACTTAGGATTAATTCCATCATTTATTTATATAAATCTCCCGACTAGTATTTCGATACTAGTCGAATAACCTTAGAACAACCAAGTTCTAAGTTCATAGCCAAATGGTTTATCTAAATTGATTTTCCAATCCAAATATGATTTAATCCCAATATCAAAAATATCACTTTTATCCATTCATGAATTTCATACATGAAGTAAAAGTATATTTTATCACAATTTTCATAGTTAATTCCATTACCATGCCATTTCTTTCATATCACATAATCATACACAATTTCTTACAAATTTGTATATTATGCTCTTTTCCTTATAGACAATAGTCTTCTCATTCTTAGGCATTATTAATCATTAATAATCCTTAAAAACATATTTAATTACCTTAGGTAATCTCATGAAATTAACCCAAAGATTATAAGCAATATAGTCAGTCATCCTCACCTTATGAAGTGCTGAAATAGTTGCCTTTGTTAAGCCCTTCGATCAATCCCCGTTCTAAACCGATTGGAGATGAAAATTCTGGACAGCAGCCAAAAGCCGGGCGGCTTTCACAAAAGCCGGGCGGCTTTCGTGGTCTGCAGCTACGAACAGCCTCCTTCAAGTGGCGGTTTCCGATGGTTTTGGCTCCTATCGATTCCCCAACTCTTCTAAGTTAATTACCACCACTTTATATCAATATTATACACTTTTAAACGTGTATAAACTCATGTTTAATCCATCATATGATTTCTTAAAAATCATACAATAAAATACTAGTTAGGAGCTTGATTGTTGAGTTCTTACCTCAAACACCACTCTTCTCTTCTTGGATTTTCTTTGTTGGTGCTTCCTT